GAGGCTTCATTAATATTTTATTTCCATGTCTGTATGCTCCCATTAATTAACAATGTGTGATAGATAGCAGAGGAGTGCCATTAATTAACAATGTGTGATAGATAGCAGAGGAGTGAAGGAAAACCCCTTCCTAGCAAGCAGCTTTCACTACCTGTTGAAGCTATCATGATTTGCATGGTGGTTATACTCAAAGCCCTTTCCTGCTTGAGGAAGGTCAGGGAATGACAAGGGACAGGACAACAGGCAAGACCTATGTTAGTGAGCATCACACACACACAGAAGAGGAAAGTGTGCCCAAAGCTCACAGAGCTGATCAGAGCAACATGCACACTCAAGCAGTATTGTGGTACAACCTGTGATGCTCTGAAATCAATAAGCTTTGTGCCACCAAGTCAGAATTTGGTTTTGAGAGAAAATCAGCTAAAAATAAGTTCAGACAGGTAAAAAGTCCTGGTTTGGGGCGTTTAGTGGGAAAAAAAGTCCAATATTCCTATTGTTAAAATGTCTTTTTATTTAAAATTAATCTGGAAAATAAAAAACCCTGAATCCTTTGTTTCTAAGAACAACTGCCAGATCACTTTTTCCATTTACAGTATTCAACTAAGTATTGTTATCCAAAGCTGCAGTGGATACAACCTTACTGAATAAATAAATGATTTGCCCCAGGATGTTTGAGCACATGCTGATAGAAACAAGCAAGGCAAAGTTTAGAAGCAGAAGAAATGTCCCTTACTGGAACCATGGGAGGGAATAGATCAGAGGTTTAGAACTGCATTTTTAAAACGTGGTTACCTTTTAACCTGAAACCTTCTTCTGCTCCAAGTTTCTCCAGTACTTTAGTCCATGGTCCTCTTGAAATGAATCTTCCTTTAGATGCCACCAGCACTATGGAGCTGAAGGAAACAAAGCCATTTATAAACAGAGGAAGAGTCAGAACACATTCCTTGCTTGTCTGTCTTGAGCACTGGTAGCTCCTGCCTGGTAACTCAAAGACACCCACGAACTACAGTGGTTTCTGCTTTAATGGCTTTTGTCAATGCTTTCCAACAGTTTAGTCATATCTTCTTTTTTTTTTTTTTTTTTCCCTGAAACACTGTTTGCTAGGATGAAATATTTCCAACCAGCAGTTCCATCTTGCTTTACTCAGAAAGGAACATGCTCTCCCTGGGATGCTCTTAGCAAGTCTCAAGTAATTTCTTGTCCTTTCATCATTAGCAGATTAAACCTGAAGAAATTAACTTTGAGACTTTTGCTGGTCTGACACTTTTTCCTTCATTTTCAGTGTGCTTTTGCTTTAAAACATTATTATCACTACTATTACTGTCTTACTTGCCTGTACTGTATTTTACCTCAGAATTCTTGGGATAATCTACAAATGCGAGATGATAAACACATGAGGTAAGTGTGTTAAGGTAATGAAAAGCTGTAAATGTTTGGGTAAAACATTGATAACAGCCTAGGATTAATTCTAGATGGGTACAGTAAAAACCTACATTAGGCATGAAGAGATGATCATGTAGTGAGGCTTTTCTGGGGAGAAGCAGAGGACAGTCTGTGAAGTTCACTACTTCCTACAAGATGCACAAACACTTCTAATGGTTATTTCAAAGCCTATCAAGGAAGAAGGACACTCCAGTGAGTTCAGTGGAATTTTCACTATTAATTTCAGTGGAGCTGGGATGTCACCTTTGCTCAGCTCCTGATTAGCTGCATGACAGTAATTCAGCAAATTTTGTTTAGATGAAATTATTCCATTCCACCTTGGAGGGTTTCCATGAATGAAACTTCCCTGACTCAAGTAGTATTTGCAGTCCTGCTGACTTCCCAGCAGCACAATGGATACGAGTCACTAAAATTAATTAGACAGCAGCTCCTGCAGAGCTCAAGCCCTGAGCTACAGAGTGGAGCAGTTACATCTTAACACCTCAGCTGGAACTGGAACTGTTCTGCAGAAAATAGCAACAGGTGGTAACAGAAACTAGAGAATCAGAAGAGCTAAGCACCATCAGGCCTTTTCCTAGAATAAACCTGAGGTGTTAAAATGCTCCAGCACTTACAAAAGTGGATTGAGCTGGCAGGCTGGTTTTGACTACTTTGTGAATGCTGAATCACCTCTTTTTAGTTCCTTCAGTTCACTAAAATCATTAATTTCTATTAAGCCTTTCCTGTTATGAAAGTTTAAAATAGATTCACCAGATGTTTCGTTTTCTTATCTCTTGCAAACTCATCAGAAAAAGATAGTTTTGTTTAAAAAAAAAAAAATTTGGCCCACAGAGAGTTGCTTAAATGAACACGGAAGCTTGTCGTTGCTAGAAACTCCTCTTCTTGCATCCCCAAATCCGTAAAGGTGCTTTAGCAGTCTCTTCCCAAAGGCTGGTGGGGCCCTTCCCCTCTGTCAGCAGCAGCTCTCTGTTCAGCCTGTGCTCTCCATCGTGGCAGGGCGAGGTGACAAGGGGCTGCTGGCTCTGCAGCCCCACCGTCTGCACAGGGCCCACCTCTGAATTTGAACAACACTTCCATCCAGAAAATGGGTGAAAGATGTTTCATGGCTGTCACTGCAGCCTGTGTTTGATGAAATTGGAAAGGGCTGCAGGGACTGGGCTGGCAAAATTCCTGGTGAAAGACAGACAATAATCTGGGATTCAATCCTTGCTTGCAAAGACGGAGCTGAATGAGGCCTGAGAGATGCTGACCATGTTGGGTCAATACCTGGTTCTAATCCTAATCTCAGAAAGATTTATATACACCTGAAGTCTAATTATGACTCAATCTTCTAAAATAAGAAAGAATCCAGGAGCTAGGTTTAGCCAGGACTGAGACTGGATTTTTGCAGTGGCCTCTCTGAAAAGCCCTCTTTTTTTTTTTTTTTTTTTGCTTTTTTAGAGTGAACAACTACTATGCATCTCTGCAGTAACTACTCAATGGGTTTTTTTCAGCCTTCAGAATTAAGACAGTAGAAACACATCTGCATCCACCTGCATAGCACTCTGCTGAAACTTCCCCCAGGTCTCTAGAAGAAAATGCCAGGATAATATCCTGTTGATCTGCCCACAGCTATTTCAGATGATTCACCAACAGAGCAATCATATTTCTATTAAATGTTATGTATCAGTTTTCAAATCAAAACAGATTTAATAACAGTGAAATGCATTCATTTCCCAATAGCACTCCACAAACTAATAAGAGAACCCCTTTGGTTAGAGGGTTTCTGATGTTGTTCCCATTCTCATTCCAGCAGATGAAGCTGCTGTCCTCCAGGACACAGGAACATGTGTTGGCTACTTACCACCCACTTGCAAAATTCTGCATTTCTGGCTGCCCATACTTAAAAAATAAAAGCATCCAGCCCTTAGGTCTGAGCAGGGAACATGTGCAAAGAGGAATGTATTTTATTAGCGGAATGTTCTGTGATTTGAGAGAGTATGCAGGCAACAGAAAAATGTAAACTGCACATCTGTCCCCAAGTGCTTTGTGAAAGTCTGCAGTTTGTCTCTAACCCACAACGTGGATGTAGCTCTGCAGTTTGTCTGGGGCTGGATCAGTTCCTGAGTCCCAGAGCCTGCACCCTCCTGCTGCCTGCATGTCCTGCTCACATCTGGACTCTTGGAGTCACCAAAGCCCGTTGTTAAACCAGTCAGTGTGGCACATGCCAGGTGACAAAACCCAGGAGAAAATTACTCCTGTACAGCGTCCTTGTATACTGCACCTCAGTAACACCACATTATTTACTTACTGATCCTTGATGTTGTTTACATAATTTTCTATCTGTGCTGGGATTCCTTGTAGAATTGTGTTTTTGAATGTAGCTCGATCAACAACTTTTCCATGATGTCCATCAATCACAACCAGTTGGATACCCTCATCAGTGAGGAAGAATCTGACACCATCAACCTGGGTGGGGGGAAAAATATGCTTCATCTATCATAGCAACACAATTTCAAACCACCACCTGTAAGAAGCATTGATAGTCTTCAGTCACAGGACTGCTCTTATATCAAAGAGCAGAATTCCACATCTCTGAGGTCAAGCTGTCTTGCATTTTTGCTGCTAAGCAGTAGAAGTTACAGGTTTGGGGTTTTTTTTTGTAAAATACAAAGCAGAAGTGACCTGAATCTAACTACTCATGTCATGAGCAAGTTTTCCATAATAAATGAAGCAAGTATTTCAGAATTCTGTCCCATACAGTCCACTGAGAGGATCAGCTCACCTCAATGTATGCGAAGTCATCCTTTAGATGGAAGTACTGTTTCTTATATGTTTCAATTTTCACTTCTAGCAGATGGTCCTTAGTCTTCTGTTAAAAAAAAAAAAAAAATAAAGAGAGAAAAAAGGCTTTTCTAGTGAGGATGTCCATTACCTGAATGCTGCATTTTCAGAAAGCATTTTAAACCTTGAATTCAATTAACAAGAAAGCTACATAATAGGCACTGACTTGCCAAATTACATTGCTAATGAGACTGGGCATAATAGTAACCTCTCTGCTCATCCTGTCAGCATTTAAATTGTTTCACTAAATGGCAGAATCTAAGTGATTCTCGTTTGCAGAGCTGACACATAATTCTCTGAGGCTTTGCTGTGCATTCCTG